TCACCTTCGATTCTATGCACAATATTTACCGTAAGCAAAGTTATAGTCTATTGAATGAAACTTTATTCAATACAAGTGCCATGACTGCTGGCAGTACACAGAACAAGTTTACAGATCTCCACCGCCTCAGCAGAGAACAGATCATTTTCTTTATGTCACTTGTAAAAGACCCATTTATAACTGTGAAATTCAGTCAATAAATTCTACTGCCCTCTGCGGCCTTTTCTCCCTCCGCGGAACACATCACAAAATGTCACCATGAAACGCCTTCAGAATATTCCCCAAACTCTGCAATAAACAAGAATGACCGAGAACATAACTCACACTATAAACACCTCAGGTCTCTTTCACAGGAAGCTCCCCTCCCCAAAATAATGTTTCATTGCATTGAATTTGATGCATGTTTTTCACGGCGGGTGATATTCTGTTTGTTTGTTTGTTTGTTTTTATCTATGAAAACTCCTCCTTGTGCTGGAGGTCTTCTCATGATGCACTGAAAGTACCCTTGACTGGGTTCATGAGGTGTGAAGTGACCACAGTCAACTTATACAGTAAAGGTTCAAGGTATAGAGGTGTAGAAGTCAAAAATGCAGAATCAGCAGTGGGTAAGGTGCCATCCCAGCCCCAGTAACTCTGAAAGTAGGCTGCTTTAGAGGTGTTGTTATTTGTAAGTGTGCAAATGTGGCTTTTTATCAGTGGCTATTCTTAAAAATAATTAATGATGATTTAGTATTGCAGCTACATTTTGTCAAAATATACAGCGCATATAAGGGCTAAACTTGGGAACAATAAGCAAGACTTTGATCTTCTAAATTCACCTATTTTTTAAGCATTGCAGAATGCAGAATCCTGTGTAAGACAGGATTCACTGTGTTGAAGGTTAAATACACAGTCCACGTACCAAAGTGTTTTTCCATGTCTCTGTCAGTAACTATATTCCACGTGTGGATAACTTGTACTAATGTTACGTAAGTGCATATTTAGCAGTAAGATGCGAGCAGGTTTAAGAGATAACACAACCTAAATTTGATTATCCAACTGTAGAATTTCCTCGTTCTTTTGGTCACATTAACCACAAACTTACAATAACAGGAATAAAAAAGAAGACAATGTAAATTGGCTGTTTACAAAGCATTTGGTTGCTTTAACTATTTATTTTTATCCTGCAATCTTTGGTCATAGAAAGGTTGTTCTCACCCAATAATGAATCAAAGAGTAAACTGATGCAACAGAGGCTTCAGTTTGGGGGAAAATGCTAAAGTAAAAAAAAAAAAAAATCTCATATCTTACCAGGGTTGAAAATATGAATCCATTCTGACGGGATACTCTTTTCTTTTCAAGAGGTAATTCACAAATAAGAGGTGTTTCACTCTGTGTCCTTACTTGGTGATCGCTCCTCCACCACAACATGGTTTGAAAATCACTGTGGAGTCTCATTACCTAGATTATACCTAGGTTTTGTCTACTGAAATGTTCAGTTACTGTGGCAAATATTAATAAAACACACACACACATACAAGTATGTTAATGCATCTTATGAATGGCAATGAGCCAATTAAGACCTACAGTACATGTACACCATTTCCATCTTCCTCACTCCAGTTTCAGCTGTGAAAAGGTTAGTTTATGCTCTAAATAGTTTGTACGACGTGTTGTGCGACCACTTGGGAAGGAAAAGGTGTTCATACAGTAGCTGTTCCGACCACGCTAAAAGGGAGGATGAAAGACTGATGTTAAGAGAACGTGACATCATGGAAATTTGAACACAACAGTGTACAATTTTGGGCAAACTTTCAGTTTACGAAAGTTACAAAAACAGGCAGACATACTTTCCTTCAGTATTTGTATTTTATGCAGCTTTAAACTTCTACTCTTCTACATTTTGGATACAAATATTGTACTTTCTACTTCACTATTGTGGTTACTATGCAGATTACAATTATTCATAACCTTCCTGTCCAGTGAATATTATGTGCCTCCTAATGTTTCTTAGGATTAGGTGTTTATTTATTGGTCGATAAAATTGTCCTACTTAAGCTAAATAAACTACTTGGATTAACTGGAAAGTGCATTATGAAATAGCTGAAAATAAGGCTGTTTTTCTACCCAACAGTAGCCTATCTAGTTACACCTATAGCAGTAAAATGCAACATACACATTAATTCAGCAGCAATAATAACAGAAATAATAATCTAAAAACAACATATGTAATACTAAAACACTGACCGGGAAATGAAAATTATTGGATACAATATATTTGACAAATGTAGCAAAAACCACATGGTGTATTTGTGTGTTTTGTCTATTTATAGCATACATGTTAATGAAAACAGTGCATGTGTCACCCTGTCAAGTAGCTTGCCATCCTGTCAGGGAAGCTGGCGGAGCAATAAAAGGCTGAAGAAATGGACCATTTCAGCAGACATTGTGCTTCATGATTGTGGAGTGAAATAACTGTCTTTTATGTTAACCAGATGAGGTTCACTCATTAAACGTGACCACATCAATGAACACACTAACAGGATATGATGAAAATGAGAACATGCAAAAAAAATAGCTTCCCCCCGGGCTCATCATTGTCATTGCACCTGTACTAAATTAAAAAAAGCCTGCTTGTTTTTCTACTATTATTATACCAAGCTGGGGTCTCTTGAAATGGCATTTGTCCTATTATTACAGACACACAAATATTAAGCAGCATTGTGAACAATGCAGAATGAGCAAAGGAGGGGGGAAATATGGAAAGTATTTGAAAAAATGTATAATTACTTAAGTTTAAGTGAGCAGCACCTGGGGCATGGAAAAATCCTCTGCATCCAATTAAAGAAAACTGTCTAAATAGTCTCATGGCATTGTATTTATTCATAAAGGTCATCCATTTATGAGTAAACTTTCAAAATAAATTATTTTGTGCAACTTACATGAAATTTGAATAATTTGTACAGGAGATTCAAAAAGGGAACTGTCGGTGATACTGACCCAGCAAAACACCTAAAAGTCCCTGAAGCTTTACAGAAACGTGAATGACACCATATGGATGGAAAGAACACAATAATGTTTGGTGGGGTTGTATATATTACGACTTAGACCCAATGAAATCAGACACAGGTGATGTTACACAGCCTCCAGTAGTACAGTCGTTGGATCAGAACCCTTTGGGCTGACAGATGAGGCACGTCTCTTTCTCTGTGGCTGCGGATAACCCTGCCTGACCTCCAGGAACATCAGTTTGTAGAACATTGTGTTAGAAATTCTCAAGGGATCTGAGTCGGGGAGCTCTGGAGCTAATAGGTACAGATATCCATTTTCTTCCCTGCTTGCGCCTTCTTCTTCCTTCCCACTGCACTGCAAAAAATGCCCATCTTAAATGTACTTGCACAGGAAAAGTGGCAGCTGCCGGCCAGGCTGCCACATTTTTCCAGGAATTCAACTCCAACTGCTGCAGCCAGAAACGCAGCAGCATGCACTTGTGTTGATGCGATCAGTAAACGTGCAAAGAGGTGGTGGCAAATCAAAATATACTGTTCAATTGCTTTATTTGACATTTCTAGTTTAACTGGTGAATATGAAAAGTCAAAATGCACAATAAATGGCTGAAATTTCTGTGCCTCATATCAGAAAAACATAAAAACATTTATATTTAACATAAGATTGCAGTGCAGCTAGTAAACATGCTTGTTGACACAGCGATTGTGTTTATAGTCCCACTCTGCTCAAAGTTTTTTGCTAGTCACTTCATTTACATGTTTGCGCTTCACTGTGCACTATGATGCATGCGCAGTTTGACACCAGAAAGCTGTTCCCACATTCACCGGCTGAAGGAGTGAAGTTTCTCACCTTCAGTCCCAGTTTAACAAGTGTTTGTACATGCAGGATTTCACGACATCACGACTAGTTGGGAAACCAATCACGGTCCAGTGTGTACGTTTTGCAAGTGTGATGTGAAAATTTGAATCCTCCAGCGCATATGAGTTGAGTACAGCTGTTACAATATTTGAATATTCATAGATTTTTTCCAGACAAATTATTGTTTGAAATATAATTTTCACCAAACAATAATTTGAGACTATCTTAGTCATAAATGGCCACATTTTGCAATAATCAATTTATTTTGCATAGTTATGTAATTGAGATGATATGTTGTCGATGCTCAGAGATCCACAGCCAGGGGGGCTGCAAAAAATGCCATGTTTGAACACTGAACAACAAAAAACAAAAAGCAGTATGCACTACGGTTATTTAGTAATAAGAACACTCTAATACATAATAGGCGATGTATAGTAGGATATAACATTCACAGGGGCAATTTTTCTGCATTGAGTACTTTAACTTTTGATAATTTTAGTACATTTGGCTAATAAAATAATTAAATGCATGCCTTTGTTTTACTTAAGCAAAAAATCTAAATTCTTTTCACACATCATTTTTGATTGTTTTGTAACAGTGTGTCATGCTGCAGTGACTTCTGTTTATGGATTCTGACTGATTAAAAGTTTCGACTGATTAAAACATTACTAAGGGCTTAATTAAGACAAGGCATACCATCTTTACATGTAGTAAGATTCCCAAACTTAGTTATGGTGTTTCAAAAAGCTGGAACAAACTAATTTCCTTTCAGGTCAAGTGCCATGATGACAAGGTTCACATTATGGGGTCCAGTGGGCACCTGGCCTGAGGAAGTGAGTCCTTATGTGCAGATACACTTGATCCAACTATTATCTTGAATCAGCATTATTGCGCAGTGCCTTTATTTTTAAAAACCTTTAATATTGATGTTTCTTATTTCTGCACTGTTTTACAACTGAAGACTTGAAGGAGTGATTTGTTAAAGCGGATATTTTTTGCAGTGTGCTTCACCTCCAACAGAAGAAGACATAGATGAGAACAGGCTTCTGGGAAATGAGTGACGGATCCTCTCAGCCAACCAGAGCAGGGACGCTGCGAGCACCTCGCCTGCTTCTCTGACGCTATTGGCTGTTCTCTGGAGAGTCGGGGTTTGTTCTGATATTAATGACTGCTGAGGAGACGGCGGCGCATCTATGTGGTCCGCCTGACACTTGATCGAGGGGAGAGAAGCGCCCTCAACAGCCGCTGTGAAGACGGGAAGGGAAGGGCACCGGGAACACATGCGTCTCTCTCCACACTCTCGCCAGCTTGCTTTTGGACGACGCCGTTTTTGTTTTCCCTCATGCAGAAGCCGCGTGTGTTGTTGTGGAAGAGAGCCCAGAACTGATTTCTCCTCAACTGCGTTAAAATAAGAAGACCACACATTGTTGACTGGCTTTATGTTGCGCGCTGGGGCTCCCTTGTCTTTGGAGCGGCGCACTTGATGGGAATATAGACAACACATACTGCTTCGAGGGCTATAATGATTAAATCGGGTAAGTTTACACTGTTTTCTCCTGAGATATATCTCTGTCATTTGATACATATTGCACGGTTGCGTCCCTGCAACGCATTTTCCAAGTTAATGAAAAACGCTTGAATTCATTAATTCGGGGATGTTTTGCTGGACATGTAGCCTAATCTTGTAATTGAAATAACGTATCATTACGCTTTTCAAATACCAGCCACTCATGCGTAATTGCAGACATTAGGGAATATATTGCAGGATAATAATGCTGATGACTGGCCTCGAACCCTCACTTGACGTGGACACGCGCTTTTGCGCAACTATGCAGGATGCGCCTAAACCGGACCGGATTGATGATGGACTCTGTTTAGGTTAAAAAGCCAAATTAGTTAAGGAAATCTGAGGCTACTTGTGTGTGTGCGAGTGTCTGAAGTGATAGACTGGCAGTATAATGTCCCCCGGGTCCTGCTTAGTGAGCGCACACCAGACATGTCTCGAAGAAATCCACAGAATGGTGGCCACCCTCCTTCTCCTCCTCCTCATCACTCTCTCATTTAAACCTTCCTGTTGCAAACACTGAAGTCATTACCGACGCATGCCACGAAAGTACGTTACGCGCACTCGGGCTTTTTGTGTTTTGTTTTTGTTAAACACATCACACACTCCAGACAAAAAAGGATTCTTTGCTTTCACCGCCATCTCGGCGCGTTGCATCCATGGTTTTTGCGGAATTAACACAGCCATTGAGAGGCGCATTCGCCATCATCACTTCACCTGCTTGTGTCAGTACACCCACACATACAGAGAGAGAGAGGAATATTCACTAATCCCTCAACTGCAATGGGGCATCTCACTACCCTCTCTCTCTCTCTCTCTCTCTCTCTCTCTCCCCTCCCTCCCATTTTATCTCTCACACCCTCTGTCCAAAATGTATGCCATCCAGCAGGTGTATTACTCATTAATATTTCAAAGGCAGATAAACAGATAGTGGCTGATAATGACAAATGGGATTTTCACCAAGGGGGCTACTGAAGGTGACTGCTGTAATCTTCTCTGCAGACCTGTTCTGTGTATGCATGCATGTGTGTGCGCGCCCATGTGCTTGTTCCTGATGATGGATACAATAGATGTTGGCCTCCACAGTGTGAATGACTCACCCCAAAGCAGCTGCTCAATGTAAAAAATGCACAGTCAAATGCCACATGGGAGCCATCATGCCCTCACATCAGACACCATGCCACGCTGAGGAAAACCTCAGCCCACACACTACGTATCGTTCCCACTTCGAATCATTTGACTACCTGCTGATTGAGACGAGGCTGTTTGGCGCTTATATTGTATCCTGCCACCAGCCTTTCATATGTGATCATTGAGAGCAAGTGTTATTGAAGGGTTTTTCCCGCGAACATGGGACGGCGGTAGCTCTGATCATGCAAAATATAGTCCTGAACTGTTTGTGAGGTTCAGTGTTAGGTTTATGCTCATACCTTAACATTGTAGCCCCCCCCCGTCATAAAAACAGTAAAGCAAAGCAGTAATGGGTCGCTCTATTAATTTGGGCACATTTGTTCCAAACAAATCAATATTACATGTCCACACTAAGTCATATGCTTAAAGTGAGTGGCTTTGCGAATTGCCTATTGATCTTTGTGTGAAACAGTAAGAAGCTGTAGTGGGCTGGTGCTGGATAAGGTATTGTGCCTGCAGTGGCCTTGTGGAGGCTTGGAGAGCATGATAGGCAGCACAGTGTGGGTGTTCCATATAAATTTCTCTATAGGTAGAAGGCAGCAGGTACCCTTGAGGTGAATGGATGTGTTGGTGCCAAACACTGCTACCGGTTTACGCTCAAAGTTGAGTTCAGGAAACCTATACTACATTGTGCCATCAAAATCACATTTATCTCGAGTTTTTCCCTATAATGGTGGTAACAAGATGCCCCAGGATCTATTGGGGCTCCTGAGTGAAACGCATGTATACATATTCAGAAGACGGCTGCAGGGGATCAGCCTGTGCAGCCAAGCATGGGCTCTCTGATAGCATCGTGTTCCCAAACAAACACAGGCACCCATTCAAATGGAATAAGCACAGGCAGAGGGCAAAAGGAACAGGGGGGGAACAGAGTGACGTGATGTTTGTCTTGGATCTGCAGGATGGGACTGTGGCAGACCCAAATGATATGAAAAGGCACAAAGAAAGAGGGGAGAGCTAAGGATCAAAATATGGTTTGATGGAAGCATCCATGACATTTTGGTGTTTTCAGTCTATATCAAAAGGTCAGAGTGGGATGTGAGTCTTCCTTTATATCCAGTGACATTTCCATTTCCATTAGCATTTTAGGTATTTAGCTAGCACACGTTTGTAGAGGATGAGCCACAGCGCTTTATCAAAAGGTGTACTACAAAAATGATAACGTATAATAGATACATGTCAGGTATTCGGAGAACTAAGACCGACGCTGGAGCTCTAAAAAAACAAAATAAAATCAAAACTCTTAGCTACTAATAAGATTCATATCAGAGCTGGACATGATAGGGACATATGCCCATATTGCCATTTCAAACGTGAGCAGAGAAGAAGGGGGACGTCTAAGCGCTACTGCTGTGCTGTCCATCTGTTCTGCATTTGGATTGATACATATATGCCCTGAGTGCACTAATGAAAAGCTTGGTGGATGTTGCATCATGAGACTTAACCAAGTGCTCATGTATTGATAAAGCTGCAGTGACTCAGGCACTTAGATATATATATATATATATATATATATATATATACATACATACATACATACACACACACACACACACACACACACACACACACACACACACACACACACAGAAAGTACACGTATACAAATGCACATATACAAAGCAATTACTGTCTCCAAATCAGCCAGTCATTGTGCTGCTAAGCCTTTCAGTAGACACAAAGCCATCACGCCATTTGACAGTGCCATATCTATCATCTGTTTGAGCTGAGGTAGAGTAGCAGAGAATGAAAACAGAAAGAGATGGCCCATATCAAACCCCATGAAATCATAATAAAGAGGTCCAAGCCAGCGATAAATGCAATTCAGTGGCATATAATGATTGATTCCGTCTGCCGTAGGAACTTATTCCCTGCAGGCTTGTGGCCCCTTGACCAGCCATATATTATTCATATAAATATAGATAGCTGCGCATCTTAGAGGCAGCACACATGCCACATTTGCACCTGCAGATTCAATTTGGCTCTGACTTTGAGGGATATGCCGCTGGCTCCTTTCCCCGCTGCCTGCGCCCACCCCCCCACCTCCACCTCCATTTTTTCATTCTGGCTAGCAGCTATACATGGAACATTATGCAGATTTTTGTCAAGAGTGAGTGCGATTATGTTGGGGGAGAAATGAGTGTTGAATGTTCGCTACGCCTTTGACCTTATCAGCGGCAGCCTTAAGCTGGATACCTTGGCTTAATTTTAATAGATGCAGCACGATGCGAATTAGACAAGGGGACCTAGCTGTGCTCTTTCACTGTGTGGTGCGTTATGCATGCATTATGCGAATGAGCTTAGGCACATTTGTTTTTGTGTTCTCTGCGAGGACGCTGTCAGCAAGTTACCTGTGCATGATTTGGTCTGCAAATGCATGCATCTGCCAATGTATTTGTGTATGTTCCTGTCTGCTGTGTGTGTGTGCATAAGGGCAGGTTGGCATGATATAGCGTTTAATAGTGCAGCATGTGTGTTCTCCCTCACTCAGCCCAAGGGCATGTCTTGTCCACAAAAGCACTAAAAAACCAGAGACAGGGGCCATGTGCTTAATTTGAAACATTGATTTTATATTAACAGCCGACTTGCCACTGATTCATGGCCATTCATGGTTTCCATCCACTCTCGCACACATACACACACATGCATGCGTACATACAGGAAGCTTCACGATGCATACACACTGCCTAGGAGGTTTCCTTTAATGGACTCTCCCCTACTTTGAGGAAGTATAATAGTAAATCAATGAGGTGAAGGGAAGAGAGAGGGACAGTAAAGTCATCCAGAGGCACCACCCACTAAGGAGCTTATCCAGAATGTCTATCCGAAGTGGAATGGTAGCGTCACTGCTGTGCTACATGTCCACCGTGGGTCCAGCGTCCACCAGCAGAAGCGTCTTGGAAGTGCTGCGATTTCAAGCATTCTCTCACTTTTTTTCCCTTGCTTTCACATAATAAGCAATAAAAATAACATTACATTTTCATTTTATATAGAGTCACAGTCCTATGTAAACCACTTTTTGAGCTAAGTAAAGATGCCCTGCTTTTAGCTTTGTAACAGTTCACTTCTCAGACAATCCAAAGGATTTTAAATGGTTTTATTTATATTATGACATTCTCTGTCATAAATAGACCTGAAAAAAATAGACCTGGCAGGTAAAGATGGCAGCTGCGAGTGAGGATTACTGCTAATGTGTCTGGTGGACCATTGATGCACTGGGTGGAATGCAGTTGACTCTGGCAGCCGTAATGCAGCCCGAACGGGACCAAACCATATCCTTCAGGGGTTACTGAAAAGTCATGCTGCATGGGCCAATAGAAACTTATACAGGCACGGACATTTGTAATTAGGAAATAGCAGCTCCTGAGACAGACAGTCAGACGGTATGCAGATAGACTAGGTTTGGCACAGCAGGGGTGACAAGTATTGAAAAGGCAATTAGGCTGACAGCAAACGAGCAATGAGACAGTACGATGCCCAGAAAGCAAGACGGGAACCTGGTAATGCAGAGAGACTAAATTAAATACCTACTTTCTCTCTAGTCCATTCCTCTCTTGTGATGCAAATGGGGTATAAGGAGAAATGTTCGCCATAAGGGTTTAAAAGAGCAGAGACAAATGTGAGAAAGCAAGATGAAAAGGACAAGGTTTATAAAAAGAGATGCGGGGGTTGCAATATCATGAGAAAACGCAAATAAGAGAACGAACAGGGAGAAAAGAAAGAGTGGGGGGGTGAGGGGGGGTTGACGACTTCAAGAAGAAAGCCTTGCGAGGCTTATTA